TTGGATACTCTAGGCGGCGCGAACCGCCGTAGGTCAAGAAAACCCGGGAGCCCTGAAGGCAACCGGCGTGAATTCCGTGAGGGCTAGTGGTCCAGAAAGCGGGTACGATCTCAATGAAGCCATCGGCACTCAAGAGAGCTTCTCAAGGGTGCTACCCAGCTCAAAACCCGAGCGGAAAGAGCATGCACGCGTAAATTACTGTACACCGCCCACTGCCAAGGCACCTGCACGCACCAGGCCAGCCTGTGGTATTTTACTCAAGCTGCAACGTCGCTGCAACCGGAAGGCAGAAACAGCCAACCCTAGGAGACCAAGACCCGAAACATGGAGGTCTTTGACCACCAAAGGCCTCAACAATTTGAGATCTTGGGCTCCCAGGACAGGAGAAAGGTGAGTCATCCTACGCAGGGTTACGGACACTTCAAAGCGCATGCAGGCATATGTCTTCTTCCAGCACGCGGCCTGGCACTTCCATCAATTATGTTGCCTAGAGCCGTTCGCATATTCTTCAAGCCACCAATTCCGATCCCATGAGAAAGGTCCGCTTTTAATCACAAACTGATGTGTATATATGTATATATATATATACATCCCGACAGGACCGCCTCAGGCGAGCAGGCAAACCAAGTGCACACTGGTTCCAGCAATCAAGAGCAAATCAACATGCTCGCCGAAAAGGCACGGCTCGGGGCTGCCCTTTCCCCCTACTGTGGATGGACGGAAACCATTTCGCACCACGTAAGAAATTCTGGAATGACGAGTCCCCTGTAAATATCAACAAAATTCCATGGTTTCAAAGTGGTGCAGGATTTCGCCCATCCACAGTATGGAAGGTCCGAAATCTGATGAGGCGCATTCAGATTTTCGCGCGAGCTACATGGGTCGACCTCGAAGCCGGTGCGGCAGGACCCCTTGCACCGGCGAGTGCTGGAGCTACGCTTTGGCGCTGACCAAGGCGCGTCTATTTTTCAGCTTCTTGTTGGGCACCGCGCCAAGCCTCTGTTAAAGGCAATTTGGTTGGATCGTTGGACTTTAACTGTTGGGAAATAAAGGTGTGTTCTCCCAAAAAGTTAAACTTTTCGCAGTGGGGTCAACAGCAGCCAAGTTGGTCGGATCTTTGGACTTTAACTTTTGGGTTGAAACATGTTGGACTCTCCCTTAAACCCACAACAAATTAAACTGTTTGAGGGGTCGGCACATCAACCAAGAAGCAGAACTAGAGCGCACGGCGTGCATGCCATTTGGCGGCATCACTTGGCAGAACGAGTGGTGTTTTTCTCTTTTGCGCGTGCAAAAGGCACTCTTATGTCTGTTGAGTTGACTTTTAACACGACTTGTTGTTCGGGCCAGTGAAAGGGGCAAGGCAAACCCTAGAGCAAGGGTTCTTTGGGCTTCTTTTGGGTTCGCAAGCATCAACGTGGCCAGTTTGAAAGGAGTTGCCCTTTGCTTTATTTGTCCTTCTCCTTGCTTCCATTTGCTGAAATGAATAGGTTTTTGGGCCAATAGCAAATAGTATGGCTATGACTTCAGGAAACCGTCCTCAACCAAGTTCAAGTGTTGCTTCTTCAGCAAAACAAATTATTTGCATGCAAGCTTCTTCCTACAACTTATCCCTTTGTCCCGCGCTGGGCGCTGACCCATACTGAGCCACATCAATCTGCATTGATCCGTATTGACTGGCATTGAACCACCTGTTTCGCACAGAGTCCCTTTGGATTGTCACACTGGACTCCCTTCCATTTGGTGCAACGGGACCCGGGCGAATTCATGGCCATACGGAACTGCGAAATTCGACTTGGCAAAACCCCGAAGTGGCCTCCCCTTTGAGTCCCAGAAGAGAAAAATCACCATCCCTCGGTAGTTTCCAGGCAACTGGTTCCATGTGCTTTTAGTTGTTTTTAGTCGGTTGGTGGTTGGGTTTCCCTTCAACCCACTAAAACTGAGCGTAGCAGGGAATCAGAAAACGGACAGCCTAACATGTCGAAGTGCAGCTTCGTAGTCCCAAAATTACCTTGCCTTGAAAAGATCCATCTGAATGGTTCCCTTCTGGACGTGGGCGGAACCCGTAACAGTTTCTGAATGCACAGCCAAGCACCTAGACAGGTCCAAATCCGCACATGTGACCTCACACTGCCAGACGTGACCAACCGGTGTTACATCGTCCTTCTGGGCCTTTTGGGTTTTCTTCATGATTCATGTGTCCTAAGCACACAACAGTCAGGGCGTCTAAGTCTGAATACGGAAGCTAGGGCCTTTCCGAGCGGTGACATGTTGCCTGCTTCTTCGCCAGTCGAACAGGCGGACCGCAGTCGTGCCAGAAGATAGGTTCCATAGACTTGAAGGTTTGTGTGCTCAAGAGGGCTACATGATTGCCACCAGTTTGCACTCATGATTAGACTTGGTGGAACGAGCCCCACTCGTAATAACTTGGTGGAACGAGCCCCACTCGTAATAACTCAGTTCCAGAGTTTCTGGACTTTATCCTGTTTGGGAAGACCATTTTAGTCGTAAACAAAAGCTCAACTTGTTCTGGCCAATCCACTTAAGAAGTGAGAAACAACCCAGGTATGACAGAGCCATGGGCAGCCCATAAAGGGAAGCCAGTCACTACGAAATCTGGCAGTTTTCGGCACCGTGGATGGATAAGATCCGCTTTGCACCAGTTGGTAGATGATGTATCAACCAATATCCATAGGCGTTCATCCACTTGGTCCATCGACAGTTGCTAAAGGCGAAGAAGAGCTGAACTTCTGCTGGGGTTTGTGTTCGCTTAGGGGCCTATTCTTCCAACCCTTTCTAGAGTGCGGCTTATATGCTGAATACGCGGGTTGGGGTGAAGAACGCCGGTTCCCCACCCGCCAAAGCCCCTCCCCGGCAACGGTTGGCTTAAGCCGTGTCGTGTTAGGAAGGAGTCATGCAAAACTAGGCCAAGTCAGACTTTGGTTGGGCCGCTTTTGCTTTTGAACTCGTCACTGCAACCAAGTGAAGGCATTAGAGCTGCAAGGGGAGCGATATTTCCGGTGACTCGGATTCTTTGCAGTTTTAAGGTTGCCTCAGTATGAAACACAATTGTTTCGGTCGGAGCGATTCTGAGCGACACCTATTTGGGTGTGTCTTGTTTTGGGATTACCCCCGCCCAAAAAACTGGCGCTTGATGTTTTCCTTTGAAACCACCAAGCAAATGAGTCTGTCTTTGTCTGGTGTACCACATGCTTATCGTTTTTGAAAGGGAACCGCAGGCCAACCATCATTTTTCCCCTTAAACCAGACCCCCCCAAATCCAAGGAAAGTCTGGAGGCGGTTTTTGGAGGGCCCAAATGCAAGCAGAGCACCCAGGTGCTCCTACCATCCCAGGAAGACAAACGAAGCCCACTCCTCAGGCGGGGTCCGGCGCAGCCCACAGGAGGTGGCCGAAGCCTTGGGCGGCAAGTACAAGGCGGAGGCCGAGTTCTGAAGCGAGTTCGATTTCGATGCTAGGTCCCCCGGTGGTGCCAACTTTTGCCGTTTCTTTTTTGGGGGAGGGGTTTAAACCCCCTACTAAAATAGACAAAACCGAAAAGAGTGGGTTCCCTTATTCTAACCTCTCTACTGGAGGACCTAGGATGTCTCCGTTCGGACGGCGTTTTCCTTCGGAGAAATATTCGCGGTACTTTTGTTGTGAAAGCCCCAGGCTTTGGCCATGGCTTATACAATGCTTTGGGTAATTTTGCCGTTCCAGCGGTGTCGCGGTTCCGCGGGGGAAATATGAGTAAACCCTTCCCCAGACTAAGATGGAAGCTCCCAGGACCTCGTTGGAAGACTTGGGTCCATTTACGGAGGCCTGGGAGCTTCCATGTTTGTCTGAGGGAGTGTTTTTTTTTGTGAAAGCCCCGGCCTTTGGGTGGCTTATATAACGCTTTCGTTTGGAGAGACGTGGATAAAATTCACTGCCTGAGCTCCCGTCGGCGTTGGAGCGGTAGCTTTTTTGGAAAGCCCCAGCTTTTGGTTGGCTTGCAGAATGCTTTCGTTTGGAGAGACGTGGAGAAAACACTGAGTTCCCGTCGGCGTTGGAGCGGTAGCTTTTTTGGAAAGCCCCAGGCTTTGGGTGGCTCATATCATCCAATGAGTTCCGTTCCTGGACTTAGTCGTCACTTTTGGGATTTGGTTGCCATTTTGATGGTAAATGAAAAGTTTGGACTTGCTTTGTTGACCAATCCACTCAGGAAGTGAGAAAACCGAGCGGGTTGGCACGGCTTTGGTTAGGATTGTCTCACTTGAGTTCATGGTCTTTCGTGCCACCCCACCCGAATGAGGCAATCAATGAACGTGTGAGCGAAGCTATCAGGAAGATCTCAACATCCAGCATGGGAAGGCATGAAGCGGAACAGGGAACACTGGTTCCTCACCAACTTCCAACTGGGGCCGCAATGGATATGGACGGTGGCTCACAAGTCGCGCGCCGCAGAAAAGAGAGGTGGTCGTCTAAAACTGGTTCTGCCCTGGATTGAAAGTTTTGACTCCAACAAAACGGCCGGTAGATAGCTTGGAGGTTTGAGGAGATTTGAGGGCACAGCGGCTTTTGTACTCAAGGACATCGACATCCGCCCATGGAATCACGGGAAAAACCAAGCCGACCATGTTGTAGGTCCTGTACTTTGGAATCGTTGATTACAGGTTTTCGATGGTTTGGAGTTATTGTCATGTTTGCAGATACGTCGAGCCAGTTTCTGGATTTTGCATATGTTCTGTGTGAGTTGTTCAGTTGTTCAGTGGCACAGCGGTACCTTTGTTCATGTTCTTCTTTGGAAGATTCTCCTTTGACAATGGCCAATCCCAAAGAGGGTTTTCCTTTTCTACCAGGGTCACTACTGGAGTTGCTTGTTCATGACATGGGCGTACATGTTGCAGAGACAAGTCTTCAATTTTATGCATATTCATTAGGTTATCAATCTGGTTTTCAGTGGGTTTCTTCAGGGTTTCAGGTTGAGAAATTGGCACATGGTCCAACTAAGGTTCTGATTTTTGACGCCCTTTCTTCGCGTTGCTTTGCGCTTCCGTCCGCGATGGAAGCTCCGGCGCGGATCGCCAAAGGACTCGATCTGCTTGTCGAGTCGACGAAAACGCGAGAGACGATGAGTCAAAAAAAGCCAAAGGAAACAGCCAGGAAACTGAATGAGTCACGATCAAATGGCTGTGGGTCAAAACCAATGGAAGCATTTTGGGGCAGGTGCACCACCCATTTTAGTCTATTTTAGCGGGAATGGGATGTTCACTGGGGGTACGGGATTTTGACCCATGGCCAAATCCAGGGTAGATGCAGTGTAGTAAGGCACAATCCCATCCATAAATCCTTCGTCCGCGCTTGCTCGCCCTTTATGTCCTTTGCATGGATTTGGTAAACCACCTGAATACCGGTGCGGCCGCGCTTGGTCGCCCTTTATGTCCTTTGCATGGATTTGGGTAGACCACCTGAATACCAGGTTTTACTAATGACTCGCATGAGCATGTGCAACTGATACAAATACTGGTAGTCGAGGAAGCCGGCTCCGGGCTTGGACCCAATCCAACAGGCACACTTTCAGGCACCAGCGGGCACAAGCACTGGGCGCAACGCTGTTGCACGTCGGCAGTGCGAGGAGAGTTTTCGTGGGAGGACGTGCAGTCTGCGGTGGATGGCGGCTGGGAGAAGCAGGGCGCCAAGTTTGAGTCGAACGAATTTGAGCCTCGAGTGAGCCACGAAAACAACAAGTGGGCATGGGTCAAAATTAAACCACCAGAAATTGGACCGCAGGTTTCAGTCCATGTTTCCATTTACCAGGGCAAGCCATGTTGCGTACCTATTTTTGACCCACAGCCGTCACGCATAGCAGCCATAAACCGGCGCATGCCCGCCTTGTTGATTGTTTGCTTTTATTTGCAGACGACTGCATTAAAGGCCGGGCGGATACGTGTTTGGGGTAACATACTGAATTAGGTGGAGCACGAGGTTGGGGCGAGCCCCAAACGAAGTAGGGCTATGACATATTAAATATAATTAGACAATTGAGATGGGGTCAATGAGTTCAGACGGCTGGAGGGTTGCAGAACGAGGTGGGAACACCCGAGCAATCAACCGTGTAGCAAACAACTGCCGTAGCTCACATTAGTACCAGGTTTTGACATGGACTCTCTCCTTTGCCGGAGTTTATGGCAAGCCAGAAGGTGGTCACCTTCATAGTCTTCGTCTTCTTCAACGGAGCCCATTTTTTTGTTTTGTTGTTTGTTTGTTTGTTTTTTGGGGGGTCCTTGATTTTGGGCGGCTGTAGTCACAAGACTCCTTTGCTTGAGGTGAGAGTAGAATCATCGACTTTAAATAGGGGGCTCAGACGAGCAATTTAAAGTTTCCAGAGCCATCCCCGTGAAGAAGAAGAGGCTGTTTTCAAGCAAAAGGCACCACCTCCGAAGCGTTTGGTGGACATGAATCCCTAAATCTAAATGACGTCCACCAACGAGTCCCTGATTGAAACTCACAGCCAGATCAGCAAAGTGGATGTTTCTCAAAACGTGGGACCCTATAACTGGTTTGTTTCCTTTCGGTTTCCTTTTTTCTGCCGGCCAAAAGGCTACTTCATGTATGGTGCATTCCCTCCATAGTGCAAGTAAACAAGGAAAGCCCTGCTTGTTGTCATGGTATGCCATGGTTTGTGGTTGGAATTTATGCGCCAGACTCCACATGAGTAGATATGGTTCATTGATCCTTTCGCAAATGTGTTTCGGACCCCCTTGTGCTTGGCAGTTAAAGGAAGCCAAAAGAATACCTTTGCCAGTCTAGGGAATTATGTTGAGAAACACCCAAATAGAAATATATTGCTCAATGTTCCCAAAGGGAAACCAACCATAGTGTTTGAATTTCCCAAAGGATTGAGACCAAAAGTGGAAGTAATAGCAACACTAATTGTGGAGTTTCCCAAGGGAGACCAAAAGGTGAAACCAAAAGGAGAAACCAAAAAGGGTAACCAAAAAGGTGAAACCAAAAGGGGCGGAGCCAAAAAGGGGAACCAAAAGGGGGAAACCAACCGGGGAAACCAAAAAGGAGGAATCAAAAAGGGAGCCAAAAGGGTTCGCTGCGGATTTTTTCCCGCATCCACCCAGCTTGTCCGAGGCCAGCGATCTCGGCCTTGCTGGAGGCTTTAGGTGCCGGCCACGAGCGAGCTGCTGAGTTGCTCTTCGCGTGGGGCGTCTCCCCGGATGTAGGGAAGGCCCGGAGACTCCCAATGTTTTTTTTTTAGGGACCCCTGTTGGTTGGTGGTATGTTTTTATGTTTTTGTTCGGGGAAATTTCGGGATTTTTGTTGGTTGGTGGTTTGGATTGGTTTGGGATTTGAGCTGGCATAAAAGAGGAAAATAAAAAGAGGACCCTTCAATTGGGGGTTGATCAATATTCCAAGGGCCCCAAAAGGACCATGGCTACAGAGGCTGGCCCAAATCGGATCAGCTTCCGATGTATGGGCCCTCAAAGAACCAGATTTTGAGACCCCCAAACACCCCCTAGGGTGTCCAATGGAGACTAGGTGCCCTTTTACCGTTTCTTTTTTGTGGGGGGGTTCCCCTACTAGAATAGACTACAGAAAAAAGGTACCCTTATTTTAACCTCTCTACTGGAGGACTAGGAGAGGTCTGGGTCTTTGTTTGAAAGCCTCAGCAGCCTCCCCCTCGCCAGCCTCCCCCTAGCAGGTGGAGTCAGACTTGGGCGAAGCGAGCGAATCGAAGCCCTGCGTCCTGATCTTCGGCTGGGGCGGATCCAGCTGCTCTCAGCTGCCCAGTTGCAACTGGCGGGTTCCCGCCGTTGTTTCATGGTAGTTTGTTGCTCTTCCTGTTTTTTTTTGGGGGGGAGGGGGGATTGTTTCATGGCGATAAGTTGCTCTTCTTCTTCTTCTTTTTTGGGGGGGACAGGGGGGATTGTTTCATGTTGTTTGTTGCTGTTGTTGATTTTGCTTCTCTTTTTGTTATTTAGGTTTGGTTTGGTTTGGGGGGGGGTAAGGGTTTCTGTTTGTTTCCTGATTTTGTTGGAACGGTTTTGTTTGTCTTTCGGTTCTGTTTGGTTTGGCGGCGGGGGTTGAGGCGGTTGAGGGTTCCCCTTAGACACAAACAACCAACAATGGCACCCCCTGATTCCATTCGTGCTTGTGGAACAGTTGCTTCCCTTTCAAGGTGGTTCGGCAAATAGCACTACGTTGTATCAGCTAAGCGCTTGGTTCTGATTGGTGGTTTGAGGACCCCGGAACACCTCCAGACCGGGCTCCAAAAATTAGTTGGTTTGGAGTGGTGGCTTACCCATGTGAACCCCGGTGCCTTGTGAAGCCAAATGTCTAGGGGTACCCGCTCCATTCTGAACCCAGGGATCCTTCTTTCTAAAACCCACAAGAAACCCAAAGAAAACGGCCAATTTTGAAAAGAACGATGTTTGAAAAGAATGGGGAATCAAACCCTAGGAAATGGGCAAGTCGTTCAACCACTGCCAATTCGGGGGAAGGTGAACCAGGGTCTTCCACGGAACTCCCGGCGCGGCCTGAGGCTGCAAGCCGTGAAGAAGTTCTGGCAGGGCCGGAACTTCGCGACGCTTTGCACCACCTTCTGCAGCAAGAACGTGGAACGCCAGGTGGGATCTTGAAAGGCAGATCCCTACATGGGCGGGAACCGTCGGGTCCTTTTGGGCACTGAGCATTTTTCCCAAGCTTTGACCCTTCAAGTTGCCTCAAAGGGTACAATCCCATGGTTCAAAACCAATGGGATCCCATTTTTGGGATAGGTGCACCACGCGTTTTAGTCTATAATGGGCATTGGGATGTTCACTGGGGGTACGGGGTTTTGACACACCCAGCTGGGGTCTCGAAAGGAAGATCCCATGCGCGGGAACTGTCGGGACTCTTTGGAGACTGAGCAAAGTGATGTCCCTTTGTTAACCCCAGCAGGGGGCGGGGGGAGGGCTCCCTTCGGTTTCCCTTTCAAAGCCTTCTAAACGGGTACCGATTGCCAAAGAAAGACCCTCATTCATCCAGGTGGCGGAAATCAAGCATGCCATTCGCGGAGACGTGTTGGTGCACGTGTTCTCCAACAACGGGATGTATTTGCTGCAGCACCTTCTCCGCACAATGCCCCAGGACACGGTCGGAGGAAACAATGTGGATTTGCGTATTTGTGCCCACCGCACGGTGGTTAGCATTCAGAGCCAAGCAGGGTTTTGGGCCACTGTGACGCTTTTGCAAAACTCGCAAGTGACAAAGAAGTAGGGAAGGGAATTAACCACTTTGGTGTCAAGGGGTTCTGTTGACGTTCGGGGACATTTGCTGAACACTTTCTAATCCTAATTCGTGCGGGAAGGTACAAATGGAAGGCCAGAACCAAGGGTTTTATGTCGCCAGGGTCTCTCATATCAAGGGACTTTACTGGGTTTCGAAGGGACGACGTAGTTGCAGTGTTGACCTCTTCCGTGCATGGACGAAATCGTGTACCAGCTGACGGGCGGTTTGGCCTACTCATAGGGTGTCATCCAGCCGATCTGGTGCAGGATTTCTGAGATGGTGCCCAAGAAGAACTTGGGGTATACAACCACTCTATGCCCACTAAAGGGTATACACCCTCATGTCTCTTGGTAGTGGTTTGGAGGTGAGCCACAATAAAACCCGGGTAGATGCAGGCTAGTAAGGGACAATCCCAACCATAAATAGCTAAGGATATCCGCCTTTTTAATTCTTTACATGGTTCTGGGGATAGACCATTTTGATGCCGGGTTTTGATTATGACTCGGGTGGCGTCCATGCACAAAGGCACCTGAGTGAAGCCGGTTCCGGCTTCGATACTAGCTTCACCGGTTCTTGGCATGTAACCCTAGGAGCCCCTAGGAACCTCAGTGTCACGGGCCCAAGGGGCTTCTAGGGCAATGTTAGCTTCTTTGTTTTGTTGTTGAATCTCTTCATTTGAAGTGGGTGCCGATAGAACAACGTGTCTTGCTCACATGCCAAGGAATGGAAAGATAGCTCAGTTGCCCACAGCGAAGCGACTTGTTGACCTGTTGGTTTTCCCTGTGGCTTTACCACTTTGAGTAAAGATCCCGAAAGGTGATCTTATGTTCTATTCCCCCCCTGTTGGTTTTGGGGGGAACCTATCACTGGACATAAGTTCTGTTCTTTCCAGGGAACTTCAGCAACTAGACCGGCAAGGGAGAAGTAAGATGGGGATGCTGGAAGGGGCGATCAATTCGGTACGTCAGCCAAGTGAGTACTAGCCATGGTGAGATAACCCACAAAAGTCGTGGTCATAAGCTGGCTGGGGCCCAGAAAATGAGAAATGGAATGACCCTTATCAACCATCCAACTGGTGGTTTCCTTTCAGGGGACCAAATCCTGGCCTCATGCCCACATTCCCTACCTATCGCACCAGCAAGCAAGTCTCCGTTCAGTGGGTTATAACCAGGTTTACTAGCCACTTACGTACACGATCGGCCCGCAGGAAGAACGGACTTGGCGCCTGAGAGGCGTGATCATCGACTCAGCGCCGGATGCGAACCTCAGCCCGATGCTCATGAGGCAGGTGGTCAATGGCTGCATCCGCGCGCTTTGCGGCCCGGACACATTGCTTGGAAGAACCCCGGAAGAGCCACCTGAGGCCAGGTTGGCCAAGAACCTTCAAGGGCAAGTCGGGGCATTTTTCCTAAATGTAGTGGTTGGATGTGTGTTCATCGCAGTTATGTTTATGGAGTATCGGAAGGATGCGCGGTGCACTCATGCTGTATTGCTTATACATATGGTGCAAACGATACCCCTGGACGGGTTAGCTGACCGGGGCAGTGTCTTTGTGGAGTTTGCGCGGTTTTAGTTCTGGATCTAAGATTGCAAAATCTAAGAAGAGTCACCAAGCCGCTGTCTGGCAGAGCGGATCAATGGTCGTTGTTTCCCTTGGGTGTCCTAGTTACCCAATGTTTGTTTTCATCCCAAACAGTGCGTAATGATTGTGGCCACCTCACAAGCTTTGTTGAGTGGCGAAATGTTGAATAGGGCTCCCCGATTCCCTCATCATTTGCTGGGACCCAGCAGGACGCTGCCGAACTGGCAGCTTGATGTTTCGGTGCATGGTACAGGTTCCATTGTCGGTTCCTGGTTGCCAGGTAGATAATTCTTTCGAACTTTGTGCAGTGAAGCTGGGAATGGTCCATGTTGTAAAGCTTTGCACTTGCCGGCGATGAGACAAGAGGGTCCCCCAACAGACGAGCCAGGTCAGCCTTTGTCCCTTGTTGGAACAGAAAACCAACTCCGAACAAATACCAAACGGGTCACCGATTGCAACTGGGACAAGGGCAGCCCGTGCGTCAAGAATAGGGAGACTTGGAATGCATGTTACCAGCTTATACTAAACTATCTCAAAGGAAGCCAAATTGAGTCTGCACATCCAGGCAAGCCACTAGACTAGGTACCTACTGCAACCCTTCGCCAGTGTTCTTTTGGTGTTAAAGGATGGGAACCTCCATGGTTACGCTAGGGAAGTCGAGATGTCTTGAAGCCTAGGTTTCGAAGACATGGAATCACTCGCATATGTGCTGGGGTCACAATAACCCTCAACTTGGGGTTTGTACTAGTAGGGATAGTCATCAACCCCTTGAATGATACTTGACACACGCCTCAAGCACGGTAAGGATTCCTATAGATTCCAAGCAACAGAACAATATGGCCCACATTCGGAGTGTTGACAATGGCACCCTGTCTTCGCAACTTTGGGCCCCAAGTTTTAATTAGCAAGTTTCCCACCCAATAGTCTCATGTGGGAGTGTCTCTATTGTGGCTACCATTCTTGGGGTTGTTTAAAGGGAGACCGAAGGCACAAAATCCCCAGTTTCGGGCCCCCGATTTTTAAAGATTCACCCAGGTCTTCTTGGGGAAGCACATTTGGTTCAGGGCTAGTGGAACAAGATCCGCCAATAAGACCCCCCTTGTCAAGGGAAACTAGACCTTTTCTTGGATTCGGTTTCAAAGGACACCGTAAAGGGAAAGACACAGGTTTTAGGTGACCCAGGCAGAGGCAAGCCCAAGACCCTAAACACGAGCGCTTTTCACCCCAAAGGCCTCAAAGAATGAGGTCTTGGGCTGCTAGGGCGGGGAAATGCCTTTGGTTCGCCAATGGAACAAGATCCCAGGCATGGTCTATGGGGTCTTCCTCGAGAAGAAGCCCGAGGCCGCGCTTACGGAGCTGAACATCATCAGCGCGCTGCCCCAGCGACGGTCGCGTCTTACGTTTCGGGGGCCGATCAACGTCAGCCAAGGATCCTTTCTTGGGCGTCGTGGAGGTGCCTGATTTTCGGTTGGTCAAGTCAATTACAATCTAAGGATGTTCCTAAATTACGCCATGGGAGTACACCCTAGAAAATTACCCTAAATGATCCCAAATAAACCGAAATATCCAGGTTTTATGTGGAAGTGGCTAGAATGGGAGTCATTCATCAGAGGGCGTAATCCCAGGGTGGAATAGGAAACCTTTTGGATACAAGTTGTCGGAAAAGACATGTTGGTCATTACAATTTGCACAGATTCATTGCCAGGGTTGGTTGTCAAACCCTTGAGTGAGTTGAATATATCTAGATCTTCTGAGGGTACGTAAATTCTGTCGTTTGGCCAAACTGCAGAAAATGTTGCCGTTTCAATTAATTTCAGCCGTTTCAATCAACACTTGCCGTTTTGCGAATTTCCTGCCGTTTCGTTCAATGTTGACAAAGCTGTGTATCGTCATTGCCACAATTTAGTGCGGACAAATGCGCCTGGAGGTGTGTGAAGGGTATGGCGAGTGCCCAGGTTGCAAAGTTGCTTAACAGCTTCGGATAGCAGGATAAATCCTGCTACTGCCGCGCATCCCTGAGCAAAGCCAGTAGCGTTGTTCAAGCACGTGCGCAAGATTTGGGTCTGAGCATACTGTCTTTCGTATCTGTCAATGGTGGCGCTCAAGAGCCCCGAAGATTCTGGAACCAACATTGTGAGAATTCCAGACTGCGTGCGCAAAGCAACTCTGCAGCACATGCAACTGTTCGTTGCAAGTTGACGTGTCAAGCAGTGCTCACCCAGGAGGACATGCGAGACCTGTAGCTTAAGCTCCTCACTCCTTTTTTTTCGAGTCGCAGTCACCCCTCGCACCTTCTCAGCACAGCGCGCCACCAACACGAATTACATCACCACTTAAGTATTGGTTTCAGACAGTGCCAACATCAGCAAGTTTAATTGAATTTAATATGTTGTGGCTGCTTACTCATATATTCTTGTCACAAATGACTGCAGCCAGAATGATGACCGACAGTCATTTCCGAGGACAGCCCGTGCAACAGCTTGCTTCCTGGCAAAGCCCATGTGATAGAGCAGCGTGTGAAGTGAACCGGCAAGCGCTATGAATGTGGTTCGCTAAAAATCGCCGTTTGGCCGCAAATTATCGCCGTTTGGCCGCAAATTATCGCCGTTTTGTTTCTGCAAATTTGGACACAGTTGCCTGAATCTTTCCAAGGCGACACAACTCGGGGTCTTTCCTTCTAGGGCTGCGATGGCAAGCCCCGTTGCAAGTTCACAAACTGACGCTTCCCAGGTGTGCGCAGCAGTAAACAAAGCCATCCATCAGCAATATACGGCAACTGCTGAAGTAGCAACTTACATGTTTATGTGTTGGCGTGGTTCCCTCATATTTCCTTGTTTCGCACGCTTCCAACCTTCTTAGGCTTGCATGCAAACCAGCCTAAAGCGGATTGGCCTTCCATCCTATTGTGCCGATAACCACTATGCAAGACTTGCCCTTCTGACGTTAGGAAGCCATTTCAAGCTAAACATGCGCCAAGTTTTAGTCGCAAATGGTCTCAACAACTCAGCACAAAACACTTGACATTGTGTGATTCGTGAGGCCATTAGAGATCTTACCACTCCGACTGTGAGTGTTGCTTGAAATGGCTATAACCTTCGCCGCGCAGCAGCAGTAAAACCAGTTCATGCCCCAGTCCTGCGCCTGCAACAAGTGGTTGGATGCTGTTTGCTGGACCTCCAATACTCAAGAGGCGTGATAAAGAAACAAATATATCACTGCGGCGATAGTGCTGCGAAGTCAAGTGCATCACATTCGACCAGAACCAGCATACTGGCATGAGTTTCAAGCGCCACCTGACCTCGAATATGCACCCTGATGCTGAAAAGAGGAAAAGCGCAGTTTGCATCAAAATGTGCCGTCTCAACTTAAAACATGGTTGTGCCCGAAACTGCTGAAATTATGCCCCACTTGGAAGATACAGGAGTACTTAAGCCACTGTTGTTTCAACAAACTCGATTGCGTGTCCCTGTTCAAGAGGGCCAACCACATGGTTGTTTAAACACAATTTTTGCCGAACCCCGTTTGTCGGACTTGGCATACCTGGGAAGATCGCTTTTTTAGTTGGTCGTTGTGTTTCACTTTTGGCAGGGGGTCGGATCAGTCTGGCAGCCGAATTTGTTGCGATTGTGTGGGAGAATGACATTCAATGTTGCAGTGTGTGCCTTGTAGCTGCCACTGGGATCGCTTTCGAATTTGTTTCTTTATGCATGGCTTCAAATATGGCTGTGGGTCAAAGCCAATGGTACCATTTTGGGGTAGGTGCACCATCCATTTTAGTCTATTTTTGTGGTTGGATTGGGATGTTCACTGGGGGATTTCCATGGGCTTTTGTCCCATGGCCATATGGAGGACTAGAACCGAACAGCAGATCCAGTTGCCCCCGTAGGTCATGAGCTGAATCCTGCCTAATCAAGTATCAGGTTACCAGGTTGCCTGCTTTCGTGACAACTGCATCTACTGGGTTCCACTTGGGTTCGTGACTTTGGTGGTAAAATGAGCCATGCGCTTTAGTACTTCGCGTGCTCATTCTCAAAACCCCTCGAAAGGTTTTGCCAGGAGACTGAGAACCGGCAGTGTGTTCTACTGTTCGGGTTAGCGGTCGCTACTTTCTTACTAGGGTTAACCCCAATAAAGTATGAAAGGACAACCAAGTATACGTAAAAGCCAAGCAAGAAAGGATAGTACAACCTGGTGTTGCAAAAAGGTCACCTAAGAATGTTGTGATTTGCAATCCTAGTGCTTTCAGATATCTCTACAACAATTAGGTACCCGCAACAAACACGCCATTATGTGAAGCATAGAGGTGCGGTCCCCTGATTACCGTCTATAGTGCGACTAGCACTGGGAGAACCTAAAACAAGGGTTCCCTGGTGCTTTCAGTTCCCGCTACAGTGCATCATGTGAAACATAAAGGTATGGTCAGTTACCGTCTACAGTGGTTGCTTGGTGGTTCCCAGCCATCCCCTTAGCTTTTTAGCCTTTTAGTGTTTAGTGGGGATTTCTATTTCGCCCGCTAAAAGTTAAACTTTCAGCGACGGGATCTGAGGGCAGCCCAGGTTGGGAATACCTAAACGAAGGGTTCCCTTTTTCCACCGGTGACGCGTGAGGCCCGCTGCGGGTTGGGGACTGCATCGGGCCTTTGCCCGCGATAGGGTCGCCGGTGGTCACTGACGCCAGTGGCGCGGCGCGGGGCGTGCTGATCGGCGGGGGTCTCGGACTCCGTGAAATGCTCCAGAGAAACAAAGCAAACCGGGTGAGTTTGGGGGGAAGTTTGAAGAACGCCGGCATGGTGCCCCCTGTTTTCTGGATTGTTCCAAATCAATCCTGAATGCAAGTGGGAACGTTTGCAAGTTGGACTCTGAGTCTGGGCGGGAGTTTGAAGAACCCCTCTGTTTTCGGGATTGTTCAACATCAATCCTTAATGCTTTTGCTAGATGGGACGAGGGGGCTGCACAATTCAGCACCAAACGATTTGTTTTTTTCCGCCGCTGAGTTAAGTCGCGGAGTCGAAGGAAGTCAGCATCAAAAACTTTGAATACATTTTGGACTTTCACTCGGACAAACAACATGGGGAAGGCGGCAAGATTAAGCGGTCCCAGTTCGCTAGTCGGGTCACATGTCCAGGTTTGGTGTCCGCCATGATGCCCACAAGTTCCTCTATTCAGACTCAAACCTATTTGGCTGTGGGTCAAAACCAATGGTACCACGTTGGGGGAGGTGCACCACCCAATTTAATCTGTTTTAGTGGGGATTGGGATGTTCACTGGGGGTACGGGATTTTGACCCATGGCCATTTGGGAGTGTCTTGGTTTTTAAGGGGACCTGCAAGAACGGGTGGGTTTTTCTCGTGCTTCCTTGAAAACCAACCCAAAAGGGAAAACCCTCTCAAAAATCAGACAACCATCTATCACAAAATGAGAAGCACTGGACCGGTGGACGTTCGGCTCGACCGTTCAAGCAACTCGCCAACGACAGTCCACCCCAGCTCGATTCCCCTTCGAAAAGACGGTGGACTTTGATCAGCGCCTTTGGGCGCTGAGTCTACGTTTCTTTCGGCTGTTTTTTCTCTCCGATCCAAGCCCGGTGCTTCCAGTTTCTGGAAAAACAGATACCATCACCTCACCGTTCTTGGCAAGTTCTTTTTTTTCTTCTTCTGTTCATGTTTTGTAGGGGGCTGCAAGAAACACAGTTCCTTGCACTCAGGCGCAGCGGACGGCGGCGAGGCCCAGCTTTTTTAGTGGGAACTCGTCTGAAAGTGGAAATGAATTTGTTCACGGAGCTGGTTTGGAGAGCTGGTCGAAAACTTGGCAAGGTAGATGTGATAGATGCCGCATATTTGACCCTTCATACTTGTGCCAGTCTGCTGGTGGAACTTGTGGGTTGACCGCCATAGAACCAACTGTAGACGATGCGATTCTGCCTGCGTACCGTGTGCAGAGTGCTGAACGGGTAAACATTTGTCAGGCGAGCCCTTGCCTTTTTGGGACTCCTCGTGGCAAAAGATTCAGCTTTTGCGTCAAGTTGGTCTGGACAAATGAGATCAGCAGGATCAGGATTTCCCAAGCGCGCGTACTGTCAGTTCACCTGTGAATGTTCAAAGCAGATGCCGAATCCTTGCGATTTCTGGATACTCGTGACTGCAGAGTGTAAGGAAATGTCGTAGAGAAACCCGGCAGGACTTGTTTTCTTGCAGCACAGCCCCTGTCTCTCGAGAAAAGGTCTATTGACGTCCCTTGCGACTCATTTCCAACCTCCAATGGGTCCAAGGATTCCCTAAGACTGACACCCAGCAAATTTTCCGACGTTCGGGTCTTTTGCCACTGACTAGGGTCAACCCAAAAAGTGTCAACGAAAAAGGGCTTACCATATCATGCAAGCTGATGAAGTGTTGTTGGAAAACTGCAGTCATTTTCGGGGGAATTCCATACTTGGGTAACCAACCAGGGTCCCTTTGAAGAAAAAACACGGGGGCTGGGGAGGGAGGGGTGGGGGAGGGAGCCCAAAGAAGCCCTTATTAAGCCCTTAGAATAAGGCCTGCTTGAGCGCATAGTTGGGCTCCCCCCGCCGGCCAGGAAATAGCAAACCCCAAAGAGGGGTCAAGGCCTGGACGCTGAATCCAATGGACATTTCGATGTGTCCAGATCGTCGTCTTGCTGGAGCGGCGGTTGCAAAGCAAAGACTTGGAGCAGCTGAAGAAGTTTCAGGTCTCTAAGGCCGGATGGGCAGACGCCTCCATGTTGAGGGACCAGGTCACTCCGGTTGGAAGCCCCTTTTTGGAAGCCCCCAAGAGTGTGCGGAACAAAAGGGACGGTGCCGGACTTTTCTAAACAGCGGACATCATGGGGCCTGCGTTTAGGAAAGCACAATATGTTATATGTAGAGATGTACATGTACATTTTTTCGAAACAGGCGAGCCAATTGCAGACTTTGTTCCCCAAAGGTGCAAAACGGGAAATCTGAAAAAGAAGGCAGACCCCATGGGCCCCAAAAGCGCACATTGGGCCTGCATCCGATTTTGTTTGTTTGTTTTTTTGTATGTGTTTGTTTGTGTTCTCAAGGTGTTTTGCACGTGTGGGGGGGAGGATTGAGCAAGAAAGCCTGGGGGACACCAACAAAAACATTGCAAGCCCATGGCCCCTTACTCGCTCTAAGTTCTATTTCAAAAGATACGATTTGAGGTTAAGCGTTCCAGTTAAATTAAGCTTGTAAACCAACAGAGCTGAAATTGCTTGAGCTTCTATTGGTTTGTCTCTCCAGATGTCATTCCTTTCAAACACTCAGGCACCATGCCATCCAGCTCTCTTCCCAAACCTCTTTGCTCTTTCGCCCATGTTGCCTTTTGTTTGCCTTTTTGGGCTTCCTTCATTTCCCCTTTTGACCCGCAAACACCTATGTTTGCAGGGGGCTCAAAGTCGGGCCAAGACACTCTGAACATCACTCTCCCCAAGACTATGGCTACCAAAAGGGGGTTCCTTTCATGTCACACATACCCACGCCCATGGGGAGAAAATGAAACTGACCCAAGCTGAGCGCGGTGTATTTGGGGTGTCAGGTGCAAAACGGGCAGCCAAGCACACCAGCTTGGTGTCACCAAGGCTTGCACCACCTTTCCAGGGGTCCCAAAAGGGAGATGGTTTGAACCATGCCATCAGCCAGCAGCGTTTTCCCATGTCCAAAATCCCAAGTGTCCAAAAAGCAATGCTTTGGGGGGGGGGGGGCTACTGGGTGCTTGCACATATCCAAACAGGGATCAACATGGCCCAACTGTGCTAAATGCTTCCCTCACAGCCGGATTTGGCCTTTGGTGGTGTCCCGATGGCGAGTCTGAAGATGCGAATTGGCCGACCCATTCACAGCAAGGGCTGGATTCAAAACGAGCCGCGGGTTTCTTCGCGCGAGGTGGAGATCGATGAGCTTTCAGATTTTCTGGCAAAGGAGCGTACGGCCAAGCCTTTCTTCCATTTGCTTAAGAATATGTTATATTTGATCCTGTTGGTTTTTGAGGGAATCTATCACTACTGGGAAATATGTTGTTTTGTTGTTTTTTTTGGCCAGGAGGCTTAAGCAAATGGAAGCTTTGGTGAAAGACGTTCAAGGCGCGTGCTTAAGCAACTTCCGTTTGTTCTATGGCTATAGTCTTTCGTGTAGCCCAATCGCCCCTTAGACCTTTTGGACCTTGCCAAACATACAGAAGAAGATCAACCTTTTGCGGGAGGAGCCGCCCAGGTTCACATCTGGGGGTTGATCAAAAGGTCCTTTGGCGACCATCACGGAAACCACCAAGACGACTTTCACAACTAAAATGGGAAAAGTTAGCCATGGTCATTTTGGGGCCGGGAATATTGATCTACCCCCATGTTCCCCGCAAGGAGGATTGCCCACTCCATTTTCTCTACTCTTCCAGCGACACCCTCATCAAGGCACCAGCCGTGGAGGCGTATATGCGGACATGCACTCGCACCTCGGCCTGGCAATCCATCCCACACCCAGTGGTGCGCTGCTTCCTGTTTTTTAAGTTGAGCGGGTTTCCGTTTGCAATCATCTACCACCAAAAAATGTTCCCAGTTTCTGCCATCACTAAAGAACTGGGCATCCGGAAATGCAATGGGTGTCTTCCGCTTTCACGCTTTTTGGCGAAGGGGTCCCCATCAAAATCAACAACAACCAATGTAGAGAGACGGGGGTCCACATCCATAAGGGGGGGGGAAGGGCGCTGTTTTGGCGCTTTTTTGCAATTCTCATGCTTTCCATGTGCGTTGGGTAAACAGAAAGTCGACCGCGAGCCTGATCCAGTTAGAAGTGGGTCTCAAGGATCAAGCACATGAGTTCGGTGCAGGGATCAAAGACATGCCCGATTCACGATTCACCCTGAGGCGAAGGACAAGCAACCTGCAAGCGCTTTGCGGGGTCGCAGCATGTGCGCCATTTTCAGAAGCACTTTGTGCCTCGGTCAAGATGCTGCCTGGGCGCAAAGCTGACATTTCATGTGTTTAATAATATGTTTTTTGTTTTTTGTTTTCCCCTGTTGGTTTTAAAAGGAATCGATCACTACTGGAATTATTTTTTCCCAGGGAGCTTAAGCAAATGGAAGCAACTTGTCAAGTTTGGGGGAACAATTGTTCACATCATTGAGATTGCTTTCTACGTTACGCGACTCAACTGAAGGGCAAACAGGTTGAACATCTACTGTCAGGGGTTTGGGTCTTCGCTCAGGATGTTGGATGATGATGTCAGGAAGCCGCAAACCGTCGCAACAACTCCAAGGATCACGGACCTTGAGCGGGGGAATGTCCGTTCTACCGTTCTTTTTGGAGAGACTCCCTGTAAATCAACGACCAAAAAAGGAGGTGCCCTCTTCTCCCACGGAAATCCACAGGTCTGGCTGACAATTTAGGCGCATGACACTGATGAACATGGTGACGATCAGGACGGGAACGATGGTGGCTGTTTTTCTTCATGTGCTGCTAGTCGGTTTTTTGCAGTTGCTGGTACAATCCGGCGTGCGAGTTATGTTCGCAACCTCCCTAGGAGCGCTTTCTGATTTGAGTTGCTGCCAATATTATTAGGTTGTCAACTGTCGGTTTAAAACCGGCGGGCTCAGGAGACCCCCTGCTTCAAAGTGATGCACAAATCCCAGTTTTCCCATGTCCTTTTTGGGGAAGCAGGCAATGCCCAGGGCTGATTTGTGAAGACTGCGAGCTATGCTGAACTCAGGAGCAGTATGCGGCCGAAGTGTCCACTTTTTCTGAGCGCTGCCTGAGCGGTTCCTGATGCGAGCATCAAAAAGCCGGGGAAGGGGGGGGAAGCTGCCACGGAGGCAGAGTGAGGTCCTCTAAGAAAGTCGGAGATCTTTGATGGTTCCATGTCGATCTGCAGTGCAGTTCAAGGGGACTCGTTTTAGTCTGACTCGTCTCCCACCCACTACATTCATGCTAACTTTGATTAATCCGAAGGACCCTACCAGTTAGATGAACCCCCTAACTAAAAGGGAACCGCCGATCAGACTGTCTGACGTTGACATTGGAACCCACCAGATCCCTCAAGAGGAAAATCCGTTCTTCCAGTGATAATGTTGACCCCAGATTAGTCAACCCCTGTTTATGAATATGGAGGTGTTCCCCTCCAAAAGTGGTCTGATTGCCAATTTTTCACCCAGTTGAGCCACTTGCTCAAAACCGATTCGGGTAGATGAATGTTAGCAAGGGACAATCCCAGCCAGACAGAGCTGCGGCCACCTTTGTATTTCCTTGGTTCTGGGTCCACCGTTTTAATACCGGGTTTTGATTGTGACTCAATTGCAGAACCTGTGCTTGTATCGCCACGGAGTATGGTCTCCCCGTTCGAATCTGTGCCCTCGGCCATGAGCTGTCATCAACTCACTTGAGGTCATGTGGGCGTAGTTTGGTGGTTTCCCCTCAAGCTATCAGGGGTGACTTGGAACACCCACCTACTGTGGATGGACAAAATCCTGCACCACTTTGAACCATTGGAAACCGATGTTTTGTTGGTATTTACAGGGGACTCATCATTCCAGGGTCTCGTAGGTGGTGCAGGATTTCGTCCATCCACAGTATTAATACAAACCTGGCTGGCTGGCAGACCGCTTCCGAAAGCTGCCAGACCGCGCTGATGCTGATCCGTTCGGCTCTGCGAAGCGTTCCCTTGGTGGCTGACGACCCAAAGGATGAGAAGCTGGTGACAGTGAGAAGCGCGTGAGAGACAACTCAGGGTTCATCTGGATTTCTAGTGGGTAACGGATCTTTAGACTTTTGGGAAATCAAATCTCTCAAATCTCAATAGACCTTGGTATAGAATCTATGAGAAAGAGCGAGGAGTCGGCCAGATGGATCTGAGGCAAACCCTTCGCCAATTGTTTTGATGTTTTAAGGGTGGCCCCCTCAGCTTGATCTCTGGCTTGGATCTTTAGACTCTAACTCTTTTTGTTGAAGTCAAATTTGGGTTTTCCGAATCGAACCCCACACAAAGCTAAGCTTTTTGGCAGAGGGGTCGTTCCAGCCACCAAGTCTCCATCCGGGACCCCTCCATTTCAGGGACCCCTTGCGGCTCCCATGTTGCGGGCCCCCAAAACCATCGGGAGCCCCAGGCTTGGCATGGCACGTGCCTCCTCCATTTCCCCTTTCTGGTCCGGTTCTTTTAGGTGAGCGCATCTCTCCCAGGGGGTTTCCTTTGGGTGTCCCTTGAAACCGACCCCCTTTCAGAGGTCCCATTCCTTTGAACCAGTGGGGATCGTTTCAATGGAAGCCACCAGTGGATTGATCGACCTTTGATTCGGAAGTCCACATTCCAGGGACCACTTGTTGATGTTTCTGCACGCCGACCTTGTGATCTTTTTGATTTCCCTAGTTCGATCCAAAATTCAAGGTGAGTCAAGTGGCTTGTGGTGCTTTAGGCAAGTGAGTATGGGTTTCCCGTTTGAAGGATGTCAAAGGGAAAGCATGGCGAACCACCCTGAAAAGGAAGCTTTTGCTTTTCAGGAAATACCCACCATCCAGGCAATCAGGTGACAGCATGGACACTGATCACTGCCGAGAGGACTTGGTCGTTGTCTTCGAGGCGCGACCTTTTGCCAATGCGCAGGCGGATGTTGTGCCACCAAACAGAATCAAAGCCAAAACAGTGTGGTTTTTAGCTACCCTCAGAATGGTGGTGTTCCTTTGGCTTCCCGTTTCCCAAAGAAAACAAGAAAACAGAGGCGCCTTCAACAAAAGAAAGACACACTCTCCTGGTGTTGTTGCCTTTTTGGTCGTCACGTGTCAAGGTTTCAGGTTTCGACACAGAGGCTCCCAGGGATTGTCTATCCGAGGATAGGGGGCTTCCTCTTGATTTTCTCCATCCAAGGTTGAGAGATCTCATGCCAAAAATCCTCGCGACGCAATTGGCCAGTGTAGTTGACCTGCGTGCTAAAGCCATCGAGTCTTGAATTCCCCTCAAGAAAGTCGCCACTCAATGCGAGGCTGCGGCGCGGGGGTCCCGCCCCCCCCCCCCCCATTGTGCCGGCTTTTCCATCTAAGCCACGGAAGCGCGGAATTCCCCCCCAGCCCAGCGGAATCGCTGCTGCGCGCTTGCGATCGATCGCGCCCGCAGGACGATGATTTACTTGCGGTGTCAAAGCCGCCCTTCCTGCGGGTGACGCCGGTACACAGGCACCCCGGATGGTCCTTTGAGTCACTGTTAGAGTTTCTGGTTTTCTTTCTCGAAAGTCCCCATTCCCCTCGATCAGATTTTTTTAGACTTGCCATGGGAACCTCAGAGTCGTACAGGAAGCCTGCGGCGAGATTTTCCCGGAGTCTTCCGCGCGATCGAGAAACTTCGCGAGAGAAGCCCGAGGTATAACCATGAACTTGGAGAAAGGAAAACCGAAGGACACCGATCTTGCCTTCTCCCAATTGCGGGGAAATGTTAAGTGGGAACTTTTGGGACATGTTTGCAAGTTTGGACTTGGGATTTGGAGCATTTCCATGGTTTCTAGCAGGGAACCACCTCAAAAGTTGGTGGACATGAACCCCAACCTGAAATCACCACAGAGAGTCCCCCGTTCAAAATCAACACCGACCCAAATGGTTTACCCTGCCTCCCGCTATCCCACCAAACTGGGAGAGCAACTGGAACCAGGAGTCCTTGAGGGCAGATGTTTGCTTCCCTGGCGGTTTGAGTGGTTTGGAGCCCGGTCAAGTTGGTGACATGTGAGGTGCTTGTTTTTTTGGGGGGTAGGTTCCCATTTAGCCTCCTGAACCGGTTCATAGGTTCAAATCCCAACCAATCCAAGTCGCCAAGGAAGCAGATTGATACCTGTCACATTGCCAGCTGACAGATTTCTGGGTTGTGTTGCTATCCAATGTGAGGACTACTCGCAAGGGCAACATGAAGTAACCCAAGAGCACCCGGGCACCGCTCATCAGGTTTGTGGGGAAGTCGCTGACCAACCAGGTGCCGAGCTTACGCAAATTACGCACAGGAGTGTGTGACGGCTATATGGCTGTGGTTTTGTCAAAACCGTTTTGGGATCCCATTTCGGTTGGTAGGTAAATGCACCACCCATGTTGGAACCTATTTTAGTGGTTGGATTGGTATGTTCACTGAAAATACGATTGGGATTTTGACCCATGGCAATATGGGTGTGTCTTAAGATAGCCGAGTGCTTCCAGGCGAACTACTGTAGTAGGTTACCAGGCCCTCAGGGGAATCCATCATGAACCTAGAGGTAAGGAGCCCTGGTTACCTATGGCAAAAGGGAACTCGTACCCTCAAAAAAGAAGACACGGCCGTGCATTGTTTACGTGCCAGTCAACTGAGGTGTTGGGATACCTTCAGGCCAAGTATGGGGAGCAGCGCGGATCCCAAGGACCCGGCAAGGTGATGGCAGGTGATTTGGCCATGCAATTGGTTGGGCAGGCCCTCAAACACAGTGGGCGCCTGCAAGACCACACAAAGGATGTCCACCAAAAGGGACCCCAATGGCCCCCATCGCAAGATTCTTACCCATTGAACGGAATGTTGGCTGAAACGCTTGAACTCTGATCTAAGGTACGATTCCGCGATGGTCCTCCATCGCTTGGCAGGGCCCTCAGTCCATTGTAAAGGAAGCCTGAGTTGCATCAAGATCTCTGAGCCCAGCAAAGTTGGCCAGAAGTTAAATTCCCACCCCCTCAAAATCATGGCGGCGTGTGAATTGGGGTGGTGGTGGATGTGGACGCAAAGGATTCATGGAACTTGGGGAGTATCGATTTGGGCGTACCTTTTTGGAACTAGTACCCGTTTTGGGTTCAAATGAATGAAACAAAGCCAAACCCATGCGTCAGGCTTTGGCCCAACTTCGGCGGTAGATGTTTTACCCTTCTGGGTCCCAAGAGCGGCAGTTTTTGGGCCACACAATTTACGGGGGAATGCGTTTGCCCCCCGAAATTTGGTAAATTCCCATTTGTTCTGCAAGCTTCATGACCAGCGCACCTGGGAGAAATATATGAGTTCAGAGCTCACCATTGGGTTCTTTGCTTTTGTTTCAAGTTTTGGAATTGCAGAATTCGCAAATTTGTGTTTCCTTCAATTCGCTCTCAACCAGCGGTACCTACACAGCGAGCTGGATGAGGATCAAACCACCAGCGGCCTGGTTCTTTGTGCCAAGAACAAGGACGGGATGGTCGAAGTTCGTTTGCACCGCCCATACCGCACCCGAGGGTATGCTTTGGCTATGTACCCCGTTAATGATCACGAATCTATATGGCTATGAATGTTCATAGACGCCCGCTTCAAGAGTGCTTGGACACTTGGCATGGCATGAGTCTCCACCGGATTCTGATGTCTACCAAAGGGTTCCTAATTCCTCCTGCTAGCATGGCACGTACCACTGGGTCACTCCAAAAGCGTTGAAGCTAAAATTCATCTTCCAGGTGCCTCCCCGATGCTATCTTACTGGGAGGGATTGCGCTTAGTGACCCCAAAGGGCCGCGAGGAGGTAAAAGGGTGCAAGCTACAAGGACCGATTGTGATCTCGGTGCTGGAGGGAGACACGGCCAAAGGTGCCGAGGGGACATCATCAGCACCAGTGACGAGTACCTGTGGTGGAGTACCGTGCTGGGGGCCACTCCGAGAGTGGCGGGCAAAAAGTGGAGTGCACCGTTTGAGGCTACAGAGGGAGGCCGGCGCAACTGCAAGGGATGTGGAGACATGTTCGCCCGAAAAGCCGCAGGATGCTGGGAGCTTTTTGCCGCCGGGAAGGAAGGCGAGTGAACCAACCAACTACCAAGAAGGAGTTCCAGCTGA